ACAGCAAATGTTTACCTCGTCCTGTCTGACGATGAGAAACAAGTACATGATACCAATGTGGAGAACAATCGTCCCTACAACTCACAGAGATTTTTTTACAGTGCTGCTGTTTTAGGAAAACAGAGTTTCTCTACAGGCAGGTTTTATTTTGAGGTTCAGGTTGAAGGAAAGAGCGAGTGGACTTTGGGAGTGGCCAGAGAGTCGATCAACATGAGGGAAGACACCACACCGAGACCTGCAGACGGTTTCTGGACTGTAGGCCTGAGTAAAGGAAATAAATACAAAGCTGGCCCTGATGTCGCTCTCTCGCTGCAGTCTGCTCCTCAGAAGGTGGGGGTGTTTGTGGATTATGAGGATGGCCTGGTCTCCTTTTATGACGTTGATACTGCAGCTCACATCTACTCCTTTACTGGCTGCTCCTTCACTGAGAAACTCTACCCGTACTTCAGTCCTGGACTGGAAAATGATGGTTGGAACTCTGCACCTCTGATCATCACCCCCGTCGATTAAAGAGGGCTCATTCTGCTTTTCTGTATTTACTTTCATCAACAACAGGCGATTCTGATATTTACCTTCAATTGGCAGACTTTGGTTATTTATACTAAACCTCACCAGCAAGATCCCAGGACCTCCATCACTCAGACTTGGAGGTGCTGACCCTCGTAGCGCCACGTTCATGTTGAACGACACCCTCCTCACCTCGACTACACACTTGAATAGCACAAACACAATCTGAGACAAGCATGACCCTGCCTGAGTGCAGATCAACCAGGGCCATGCCTTGGTCCAGGATCATCCAATAACATGATGATTTGCATGCTATTAGAATTCCCAGCAGGCATGTGCCCACTGAGCTTCACCAGCTCAACATCACCACCGGGCTGGAGGTCCACCAGCACTGGATGAAAGGATGAATTTAGTACATTTACTCTTAATGTACTTGTACTTTCTTTGAGTAATCCTCTGTATTTTGGGTGGAAATAATGTATTTTGTCCTCTGTGTGTGTAACCAGACCCTAACTGACTAAATGTCGGACAAGGTGCATGTTTGTGTGTATTTTCCAACTTTCTTGCCACAATAAACAAAAAAGAAAAAGAAGTTTGACTTTGTGGTCTTTCATCATGGTCTCCTCACCATGTAGTCATCTCTGTTTGGGTTACTGTCAGAAATCAGTGTTAGGTCATTTAGCATCCACATGTCAAAAACACTGGTATTTCTGGGGGTAAAACTTTAAAATGTTGTAAACTAAACTTCATCAATTTATTTTAAAGTTTTTATTTGGGGTTTTAAAATGAAACCTGCTCGTGTATTCTGCTGTATTATTATTATTGATAAATCAAAACGGCAGCATAAGAAGGAATTAAAGTAATATCCAAGTGCAACATTAAGTTAATCCCATACAGCTGATCCAATAAAGGAATTCTTTACTTTAGGTCCTTTAAGACTTTAAAACTTTTGTTCTGGCTCTTACTTTACAAGCATTATGACTTTTCTTTAACAGATACTCTATTCTAGCTTCTTTCAGCCGACTGTAAAGGAGGATTTCAATACAAAGCAATGATTAAACTCACTTGCAAACACTTTTGATGTGATGGCATCTATATGAGGGTGCAGAATAAAGGATGAAACATGAGTCAGGCTAAAAATTAATGTTCAGATTTTCCCACCCACTCCACGCCACAGTGCTGAAGCAGCAGAGCTCCTTCTCCCTCAGACTGATTCAACCTCACTGCCATAAAGAACGCTTTAGGAAATCTTTCCTACAGATTGAAGCATGTTTTTGTATTATACCTTGATGCTGCTGTTTTTTTTTAGTTATACATATTATTTATTAATCCAATTTGCACTTCTTCATCATTGTTAACAACAACATTTAATAACAACACAACAAGAAATTAACAACAACAGCATAATAGAAAAAACCTACTACGTTGTTTATTTGTTGTGTATTGTACACTGTACGATTTTATTCTTTATCATGCTGCTGTAACACAAAAGTTTAACCTTGTGGGATCAATAAAGCATCTATCTGTCTATTAAAGTAGGCTGTACTCCCCTTAGGTGCAGCATGTGTGCATGCAGGTTCACCTTCACGGTTTCCTGGGACACTTAACTTAACTAAGGTTTTATTAATTTCACTCCTGCTTTATCCACTCTGACAGCTCGCAGTAAAAACTGTCAGCTGTAAAAGTCTCGCGTGGGCTTTAATAAATTCCTCCCTGTACGCTTGAATCTCAGGACCCGTGTTACCGGTTTCAACCACCAGGGGGAGACATCGTGCCGTGCGCTCTGTTGATTCCCGGAAGTTGTGACAGCGTGTTCCTCAACACAACCACAACAATGAAAGCTATCATTCAGAGGGTCACGAAGGCGAGTGTGACAGGTAAGCTTTAACCTGAGCGCGGCTGCTGCATTTTGAGAATGTATTTAAACTCGAGCCTGCTCACAGCTTCCGCTCGTTTCCGTCGCTGACGCGTCGC